TACCCTAAACTTGTGGATCTATTCTCAATGCGACAATCTGGGAGTCAAACTTCATTCATGTTTGAAAAATAGATGGAAACATGAATGAAAAAGAGACTGCTGGTGGAGGCAAAAGCTATGAGTAGGATCTGACCCCTTTCACGATGAGTCATACAGACCCACAGTGTCAGTACCACAATCGAAGATTTCATAAAATATATATATCTGCATCTGTGACTTCCACCTACTCAGCAGTTAACCTTTAGTCCCAGAAGCTACTTGAAATTCTCACCTAATGTGTTTTTATAGTTCAAAACAGGTCTATAAAGAGACTAAAGTCTCTGACCTACAGCACGACAACCTACAACTTTAATGTACACTGTGGTTTACACTGTTGTCTAAAAAAAGAGAAAGAAATAACTATGTCAATCTATTTTAAGTGACATTGTTGTTCAGTGCTTTCTTGTTTGAGGAATCTAGAAGTGAACTTTAATGACGGACATGACTGCACATCTGCCCCTTCTGCAGAAAGAACGCCAAAAGACCCGCATGGAAAAATAAAGTCTCTATGCCAACTTTAACAGCACCATGCATCAAGCAGGGTAATGATAGTAACGATAGTGAGGTTTTGAAATGACACACTGTACTGTGGCTGGACTCAAGTACACACATTCTCAAGGCTTACTGTACATAAGCTTTTACCTTATTCCTGTTCAAACCTACATTTTGAGTCATAATTATATTCCTACATTAAGTACTCTGTCATCTGTATGTTGTTCATGCATACAGGATCTTTTTCTGCACTTTTACATTATAGAGTAATTGCCACTGGATGACTTGTTTTTCTGCTACACAGTATTTCATATAAAACTAGTTGGAGAAACATTTCAAATCTTAACTACTTTAAGAAACTGTGACTCTTTTTTCATGCACATTTGTTAAGTTATCCCAAAACCACAACTTAACAACCCTCCCACCGCCAAAAAAAGGTCAAAGGGTCATACACTACATGTAATGCTTTAAGAATAAAACTACAGAAGTCTTAGCTTAGCAAAAGTTGATAGTGATTGGGAGAGCCTAGAAATCTGAATTTACCATTTATAACAAGCTGCTTAAATATGGTTTTAACAACACTTTATTACAAGGTACACCTTGTTAACCCTGGTTTGGACCCACTTTTTTTTCTTCAGAACTAACTTAATTCTCAATGGCATAGATTCAACATGGTGCTGGAAACATTCCTCAGAGATGTTGGTCCATATTGAGGTGCTTGCGTGACACAGTTGCAGCAGATTTGTTGAATCCACATCCCAACATCCTTGATGAGAATGTCCCGATCCACCACATCCCAAAGGTGCTCTACTGGAGTGAGATCTGTTGACTGCGGAGGCCACTAGAGCTAAAATAAAACTGATGTTCAAGAAACCAGTCTGAGATGATTTCAAATTGCTCATGCTCAGTTTGAAATTCAGCACATTGTCTTAACCATGTTTACATACCTAAATGCATTGAGTTGATGACATGTGTTTGGCTGATTAGATATTTGTATTAATGAGCAGTTAAACAGAAGTGTATATTCTGAATAATATGCAAGGGCTTGCACACAACTTAAGGCTGAACTGTTTTGCCAACATGAAAAAAAAATCCCCAACAACAACAACAGCAGGGGTGACTGTAATCTTTTCTGCCATAATCAGGAATGCATAGAGCCTAACAGCTATATTATTAATAAACACCTCCTTGTAGACATACATTTTCCACATTTTATCCCAATTTTTGCAAATTTAGAGCATGTCTGAATGGAAAACAAACAATATAAATGTCATTTAATAATTCATGCAGCTAAGCAGACTTTGGCATAAAAAGTAGCATTCTGCTAAAGCAAGGCGATTAGTGGGTTAAGGATTTACTATATGACACTCCCCATCTGCAAACAATAACTGCAATAACTAAATGAGATCCAAACTTGAAAAGAAGCACTTGCTCACATAGTTTGACGGTAACTGCAGTTAGATGAGACTAAAAACTTCCCTGCTGCTGTTTGTTTCACTGAAAGGCATTTTATCCAGTTTTTCCCCCAACACATAGCATGGATTTCTTGGGTGTGTTGCTTGGGCATGTTACCAATATATGTCTGGGCAAATGATATGTCCAGGCAGGTCGCCCAGGCATACTACAGTCTGTCCAATCCCATGTATTGCACTGAAGCCTGGCCATAGCGGGCAATGCTGTTGGATTTATACTGACATGTTAGTATTAGGGGCAGACGTTATAGTCTCAAAATTATATCACGATATTACAGAATTGTAGTGGCACAGCATAAGTCAACTGTAAGCAGAAAACTAGCCTATCAGGTTTTTCCCTGGATCATTTAAGTAGAAAATAACCACTTAACACTTTAACAATAACTCACACTGCAAGAGCTGCACAGCACTGTTACACAAACAAATTCAACCATATTTTCTACATGGGATATTGTATCCCAGTTTGAGCTTTTAAACCAGTTGCCTAAAGCCCTGGTTTTCCACTGTGTAACCACATCAGTAATTTCCATCCACCGTTTGCTCTTACTGTCGTATGGAGCATAATTAGCAAGTGTTCAGGCAGTTTTTGGTGGAGTCATTTGCTGACATTTGGGACGATCATCCCTGCTAGCATCTCTTCCTTTGTAGAACTTTCTTGTACTTGACGGGTTGTTTCTGCCTCAAGTGGTGAAACACATTTATTTGTTGCTTCCACCTTTAGCTGGAATAGTTTTCTTTCAGTTTTCTTTCTTTCTCAACAACCCTCTTCTTTGTTAGAGGGTTGTTGAAGCAGCTCCTTTTCAAATATTCAATCGAAAGCTCACATGTGGCTCTAAGAAATGCCCGAGTTTGTCCCCTGGTTGGATGCAATAAGAAACATAAACACCTGGCATTAAATTTAAAAATAAATTACTATTATACTTGTATTACAATACAATACCACATGGCACAGCCCTAGCTAGTATGTCTGCATTGCTCTGCCATCATAGGTCAAACTGAGCTGTCAATGCCAGACTTGAAAAAAAATCAAATTGTGATCAAGATACATTTACTGAAATGCAGGAAGACAGAAACACTAAAGACGCACCAGAGTCTACGCATGTATAATTAAAAAACTATATGTTTACACTGTTTACACTGGCAGAATTGTAAATTAGCAAAATAAGGAAGTGAGATATAATTACAGCCTATTATATCGTGTTTTACAGAGCTATAATCTTACTAATCCACTTACTAGGTTTGCAACATACATTATTACCACACAGACCTATCACAGTTATTGAGGTCTGTGTCAAGTCTACTGTTACAATTCTGGGATGTGCACATCAGAAAATGATGTAGCCTAAGGCTTGGTGATATGGGCCTATGCATCGAGGAGTACTCTGTTACCTGGACAGCAACTCCACTGCTTGGGGGAAAAAACAAAACAAAACACAGGACCACAAGCAATTAGATTGTTCGTTGCACGTGCCTGCATACACACATGCCTCCACCTGACACAAATAAAATCCAATTATAAAATCTTACCACAGCCTGGACCCTGACAAAACTTTAAAATAGAGTTATATTTACTGTCTCAGCTCATATTAGTAGCTGATATTTGGGACAGAAAAAGAGCTAGTGAGTGCCTTCAAAGTTTTTTTAGCTACTGGAAACCGCTAAACAGCTTTCAGGCAAAGTATGAGAACCACTCACCCAAACAATTTCATATTCAAAATCACATTTTGTGACAATGATTGCATAGTAAATACTGAACAGAGAGATTCCTTGATTTGTAAGTCAAATATTCCTAACAAAGATTTCTTTATTTATAAGTAATATGTGGTCGTTTAAATGTGTAACATGTTTACTTGCATGTTAACTCCTGGGAAAGTGTAGCTGTTAACAAATTTGGGGAACTACTGTGCATGCCAGCTGCATGTTTTTTTAAAAAAAAAAAAAAAAAAAAGACATTTAGGATTTGTCTTGCATTCAACCACAGCACCGAGGTCAAATGTTCTGAATGCAAAATTTTCCATTTTGCCCTTTAACAGAACACACACCACAAAAAAGACATAATACTGACGCATGTAAGTCCAAGTGCATCTGCTTATTTTTGACCACTTGTTAGAACAATAGTATTTTCCACAGAGTTGGCACCACTTCAAAACCAATCATAGTTTGTGCAACATGTATGCCTTGCAAGAAATGCAGAGCCTGTAAAGACACAAAGAGGATTTGATCTGTCACAGCCTCTGAGAAAGCTGTGAAAGTTGAGAGGCTTGATCAGATTTTCCTACGTAGGTGGTGTATAAGAGGCACAGCAGTCTATCGGCTGCTGTGCAGAGTCGACATGTGCTTGGCTTGACATTTTCTCCAAGAGTGCAGCTTCCTGCACAAACCCACACAGCGGCTCCCCTTGAGAAAAAAGGACAAATAGCTGCTGGACAAAACCACTTGCTAATAACAACTTGTTCATTTCTTGATTCCCTGAAAAAAAACACTATAAAAACACTCTGGACCTGCACCTTTTCACACAAAACAGACCACAACACATCCAGGGCATCTAATTATTTCCAAACACCATTTTCCAAGGACTGCAAGCTTTGTACACTGAAAAACCTGTTTCACCTCTAATGTTTATCTTGCTATTGTTAACACTAACTGTCCTTTATCATTTATCATCTCCCTCAGGCTCTCCTTTCTGGAAGACACCCCGGGGGTCCAGTTTACTCTCTGCACCTGCATGACGTTTACTCCTCTTCTACCAACATGAATTCCCACACTTAAAACAACAATGAATCAGTAAAAAACAAGAGTGTCAAAACCAAAAATGCCTCAAGACACTTTAGCATAACCGTTTAAAAATGGAAGCTTTACTGCAGATAAACAATAATGTTTTCTTCATAAAAATGTCTCTTCAAAAACAGGCAAATGCTCTGTTAACTGGTAAAGATACCACTATGACCAACTGTTTATTGTCCTATACTGGCACTTTACTATACAATTATACATTAAAATAGAGCACTTTTAATTCATTAGGTAGGATTAGTTCCTTACAACAAGCCAAAAAACGTGTTTAACACACACACATTCGCAAAAACTGAAGGAGAAGACTAGACAGAGGTTCACTCAGAGCACATAAATTCAATCATCTTTATTTCGAAACAGACAAATTAACCTTTGGCAGTGTGCGAAGACACACCCAGTGTAAATTAAACCCATGTATACAAAACGAAATTAAAATCTTTTACTACAGTATGAAGGCATTCACTTTGACTAATTCAGTAAAAGTATTGTAAAAGTATATAGTGCTTCCATGCAAAAAACCTCAGTTTTTCAATATTTAACAGTTAAAAGATTTTGCTTGTCTTTGTGTATTCGTTTGTGTGTCTGTACGCATATGCATATGTGTTCCTCTTCCCTCATGGGAAAATCTCCAGGTGTCCTCTAAACCAAAAAGTCAAACCCATGATCTCAAACACAGGCAGCAGTAAACCAGTACAATGGTTAACTGATCCATATTCCAATAGCTGCAGCACACCTGCAAACAAAGTCAACCTCTTTTGTCTTTTGAGGGTTCATGCAGCTCAGAAAAAAAGTCACATCTAGAGTATACATGAACTTTCTCTTTGCTGTGATCATAAAAAAAATTAAAAAGCCATTGGCCTTCGAAGCATACAAAAATAAGACTACATTTAAAATGAAGGAGAGAACGCTAACTACAGCAATAAGAAACAAAGATCTTTCTAAAAGTTCCTAAAATACTTAAATTGTTCTTGGAAGGTTTGCTTGGGTTAGCTAAGATTATTGTTAAGCTGCCAGAGTGAGTTCATTTCTCTTTGTTCTGTATGTGTTCACTTAAAAAAAAATACATAAATGCTTGAATAATCTTCTTTCTATTATTTTTTTAACCAGTGATCAGAGTCAGCATGTCATTTTGTTGGACCCAAAAGTTCCTTTAGTCCCCATAAATGAGTGCAGACTTGCAACCCTGAGTGCTGCATCTCTGGGTTTAGTTCAGTGATAAGAGCAAAAGGGCCCAGATAGAAGTGGGGTTCTCATTCAAAGCAAGTCAAGTTAGCACCAAGGTAGATGCAACTGAATTAAGCGCTTTCCTTGTGGCTACCTGGTGAAAGCTTTCCGCTGATTAGCACGGACGATGTCATCAGGCGAAGGGGTGTCGAAGCGGAAAGGTACAATCGGCAAAAGTGTGGGAAGCTGCTGTTTGGATTTCTCCTGCGACTGAGAGAGGAAGGCCTTGTAATAACTTCCTCTCCTCTGACCTTTTATTTTTCCCTTTAGTACATTTTTCATCCTCTTTTGTCTTCTGCTAGTCTGAACAGACAGAGTAATCGCAAACACTGATGGTTTTGCAAAAACGGAAACATCCAACCCCAATGCAAAAGCAGCTGGAGACATGGGTGATGGGAGGTCACTTTCAAGCTGATGGAGACCTTCTCCATGTGACTGGGCCATCAGTGAAGTCAGATCAATAGTGTGACCTGGTTTAGGTTGTCTGAAGATTTGGTGGTATGGTCTGTGGTCGAGTTCACACTTGGCACCACCCTCTGTAGCACTCTCTTCTGACATGCCAGTCTTCTCTGGTTTTGCTGGTAAAAAGAGCGACGTGAGGGAGCACTGTGACCCATTTGAGGTGGTTGAGGTTTTGCTTTTGTGTTCAGACGCCATATGTGACAAAGAGAGCTGCTCAGAGAGACCAGGTGGTTGCTTCAGTGCATTTTCTGGAGATTCAGAGCTGAAAGGCTTGGGGGAAGTTGAGAAACTGTTGCTGTAATGCTGCGAGGCAAGCTGGGACAATGAGACAGTGCCAGCCAGACATGGGGGAGTGATGCTAGTTATTTTTGATGAGGAGAGAGCATTCGCTAGTCTTTCAGTGCTTTGTGATTGAGGGGAACTCTTCTTTCTGTTTTGGTGCTGGGAAGCAAGTTCGCACAGAGATAGTGTTTGTGCTGGTGCAGCCATTCCCTGAAACATTGCAGATGGTATGCTGCTTTGAGGAGTAAGGAGAGAATTACTAAAAGCTGGGCTTCGATTTGAGTGCTCCTGGATTAAATCGGCCAATGTCGGGCTACCCTTTGAACCACCCAGCATGGCTTTGCCTCCAACCCCAACAGACTGCTGATTTTTCTGCACAACAGAGCTGAGACTCCCAAATCCAGGAGGAGCAGCCATAGAAGAGCCTGCAGCTGCTGTCTTGGGGTTGTTTAGCGATAGACTACTGAGTGAAACCGAAAGGATGGAGGGAGGAGAGGCCGGTGATGCTGATAACGTCTTTAAAGATGCCAAAGCTCCCAGTGAAATACTACTCTGACTAGACATAATGGATGCTGTTGTTGTTGCATTTAGTCCTTTGTTGAATGAGGAAACGTCCAAGCCCTGCCTTGTGTCAGCTACTACTGACCCCTTATTCTTTTGCTCGTGCTCAGAGATGAGCTGTGCCAGACTACCACCACTGCTAACACCTGGGCTAATGTTTTTAAGGCTAAAATCCTGCTTTTCACAGCTGCCGGCATTTGGTTGAGATAAGAGGTCACATAAGCTGGGTGCTTTTAGTTCAGGTACATGTGGATGTGCATGTTTGTGCCCATGTGTGTTGGATTCATGTGCCTTGGATGTCATGTCTGTGTGAGAAGCAGACAAGCAGGCTCCTTACCTTACAAAAGCCAAGTGCAGTTGTCGAAGAGGAGGGATGAGGGGGGACCACAGAGCAGAAGTCAAATCAATCATGTAGTAAAAAAAGAGAAAAAAAAGACAGAAAGAAGGCACTTTGTTAAACATTTGTATCACTATACAAATTTGTGTGAAATCAACAAAGAACACTACTGGCTGTTAGGCTTCCATACACCCAATAATGACACATATTTATATAGAAGTACTAGCAGCAGTGACCTATGTTGACTGCGTTTGAGGAGGAAATGGGAAATACTTATCTTGGAACACCCACCTATTTTTTCATAGCTATGAAACTCCACAGAAAACCCAAATCTGTTATACAACCCTTTAAATGCCACAAATTAACGTCCTCCCGGTGTGTTACTACACTGAATCACTCAGGGGTAACAGTTCTTAATCAGTGAAACAATTTTATTTTGACCCACTCAAGGTGTACCTTTGTCAGCCACAGCCTCTTGTTTGGTTCTTTGTGGTTGCGGCGCTTTGTCCTGGTTAGCTCGCTCTACTGTACCAGTCTCTTCAGCTGTACTTCTGGTAACTGGAGCGGTTTTAGTGTCTTCAGACAGTACTGCATCCAGTGCCCTCTGTGGGTCAAATCCACATTTTATGGCTGCCTGGGTCAGGACTGAGTCCGGCACCGCATCTCCCAGCACAGTCCGCATGTGGTCCAGACAGGAATACAGCTTGGCTAAAGAGTACAGCAAACGTTGGACACACAATAGATTTGTGATCCATACAAAAAGCACAAATTTAAAAAAAGACATCAAAAGTTTAAAGGACAAAATGAACTGGTGCATGGAACCTTTAATTGTAAAAACACAAAAAACAAGTTATATTCTGAGCCGCAGTTGTGTGCTCAAAAATACTACCTTGATCAAGAGGGTTGAGATTCTGGTTGACAGTAGGGGACACAGGGACAGCATCATCTTCAAATTCTTCCTCCTCTAAAGGCTCTTCCCTTGGTGCATGTCTTTCTTGACGTGAGTAGATGAACTGATTTGCTAGATAAGCCAAAACCATTTAATTTTAATAGTAGATTATACGTTATCATATATGATGTCTACCTAATGTTGCATATTTTCAAACTTAAACTGGAAATGTAAGCAACTATTGTTATCAATGAGTGTAATGAAAAAAAGTTATTTATTTGAAAATGCAGTGTATGCTTAACTTCAGACAGATTCAAATTACTCTGCTCCATCTTCACTATGCATCAATGCTAACCAACCTGTTGCTGGTGAAATGCAACAGTAGTCATCCTCCACAGACTGTCCATACATGTCATCATCTTCAAAGTCTGAAAAAAAAACGACCAACACTTAGATGGATACCTTTGCTCATTTTGTTGTGCCTCACACAAACAGTCGTATACACAATTGCAGTAAAGTCCCTTTATGCCAGCTGTGACTTTGCTTTGTCAGCAACTTTATGAATGCCACTGCACACTGGAAACCTGGAGATTTTCCTCTAATCGCTTAACTCTAAGCTTTATTTACAGAGATATTCCGCAAATTAACAACGTTGGGAGATTTGAATGTAAAGAAGAGCAAGTAAGGAATCTGGTGTTATTGACACAAACAAAACACTGGATAGTTAGCAAGCTAGGCAAGTAGCTAGCAATAACCTGAGTAAACATTAGTAAATTTAGTAGTTACACACACCTCACATCATAATTTTTCACTATAACATTAATCCAAAATCTTGGGTTTGCGTGGGTATTAGTAATTACTGTCGTTATAGGACAATTTACCATATGCTAGGTGCCAAGTGACACGACAGCAATTGGATCTTGCCAGTTAAACGAGCTAGCATTAGCCGCTACAGCTACTGAGTAACTGTAAACTTTAGCTTAGCTGTAAACAGCTAACTGGTTTAGCTCTTTGAGGCCTTGCCGCGGCATTTAAATGAGAACCGTTTTTGCCATCTACCTTCATCGTAGTTGTAACCTCGAACATTTCTATGACGAGACATGTTGATTATGCCTCCTCTCTCGGCGCCACTGTTATGTTATTCGGTTCACGGACATGTGTCCACTGCTCAGCGAAGCTCCTGCAGTTGCTGCTGTGTGAAGCTAGCCTACCTTAGCAGGCAGGTCACAATAGATTCGACAGTCACGCAAATACATAAATGTAACCACAACACAAAAAAAACAATTAAAAACAAACAAACAAACGTATTTGTTGTAATTACGTCATTTCATCGACGCCGAGCTTTTGCATAATTAAATTAAAAAAAATAATAATAATAAAAAGTTTTTTCTTTGCTGACGTAACTTCCGTTTGTAGTTGGCATAAGATCTCAACGGGTTTCAAAACGTTTACGCTGTCAGACCTATATTACACTGGATTTATTTACAGCTACAACTCTGTGCATCCGTCAGAGTAAAGTTCTGCAAGCCTAAAATAGTAATATAAGTTGCACCCCATATAAAAAAAGAAAGAAACATTGCACTACACGTCGAGTTTAACAGTAAATAATAAGAAATAACACAAACCACATCAGAGAAAGAAAATAAATTATGTCGCAAAGAAAGAGAAAACAACCCATAAAATGGAAAAGTTATAATAAAATTACTCTTTAAAACAAAGTGAATGGCTGGGAGAGGACTCTGTCTGACAGAGATAAGGGTATCACGGGAAAATAAGAGAGGTGTGAGGTGGTATGAAATACAGTCTGTAAAGTGTTAGATTTTCTCAGGTGTTAAGTGTCCATGGTGTGAAGAGGGTGGGGGATGCAGCATTTCCTTTAAGCCCTATAGTCTTTTTGCCACCAGGCATCAGGCACCTATAGCAATGGCTGAAAAAAAGAAAGAAGAAAAAAATTTTGCAGAGCTGGGCCTCACATGTGGTGATGCTCGCTGACCTGTGGTTTCTCGGGCTTCGCTTGAATTACATATTTTTATGTTTAATAGGAACAATACTTGTAAATATTTGCTGCACTGAAGCAGAGTGAAGTTTTCCATTTTGGTAGCACACTGTCATATAAAGATAGAAGAAAATGGGTGAGGAAAATCAGACCAAAACAAAGAAGAGGGGGGAGTGTCTTTGTGACTCATATCAGTAATAACTGACCTGGCTAAGTTTTCCTGTAACAGCAAAAGCAAATGTTTTTATTTGTAGTTCCACAGCCTTTAAGATCTGTGGACCTTTAACTGTGAAAAAGGCCTGACCAAATGTTGTTAAATAATGTTCTGATTTGCAGTTTTTTAGTCTTTTTCATTTTAACTGTTTCCCGCTTGGATGTTTACGAGGGGGTAACCTTTTTTTCTCTTTTCTGAACATATTTGTAACTTGTTTTCCGAGTATCACAAGCTAGTGAACGTGATCACTGCTTTTACAGCTTACTAGTGCTACGTTTGAAAAAAACAAAACAAAAAAAAACAGGACCAATTCTAATTGTTGTCCAGCCACATCTTTAATGATTCATTGAGGTGTCAAAACTCATCATTAAGGCTACAGGGGTAGGTTGTTGAATGTCATCTTTGTGAGAGGAAAGAGTTTGATCATTTGATCTTCCATTTGACCCGCAGCTCTGTGTTTACAGTGTATACATGAGAAGAAGGCTGATGACTGTCTCTGTAATTTCGATGACTTACTGCAGAGATTTTCTCTCGTTCCCCACGGTGTTCCCAAACACCACGTTGAGTCCACTTGTCAGAATTCTCAGCGAATCCCGTGCAGGCCTGCGTGACTGACAGCTGAATCTGGCCTTCCTCCGCACCGATGAAGTCATACCGTTCTTTTTTTACAGGGTTTTTTGACCCAGCTCAGGTGTTCAGATTTTCTAGTTTTAAGTCATACGAAGGAAACACCATAATGATTCAAGCAAGCAAACAAACAAACCAAAACGTAATGTAAAAGGGATAATGCACCATGCACTCTCTCAAGAAAAAGAAGAAAAAAAAACCAAGTGAACTGAAAGAACTCGAGCCTGCTCACATGACCTACTATACGCATACAAATTTGAATCCCACCTTTGATTTTGGGGTGTGAATGACTATTTTGTCAAAGGTTATCGCCTATGGTTAGGGGCCAACCCATCTGAGCCCACACTACACCTCGAACAAGAACTCAGTGACATCATATTTTCCTGCTATCTTTGTACCACAAGAAATCTATAGCCTGTCTACCACAAAGGGGGAGAAGCGAGAAGTGTATATGTGTGCCCTTTTTTTTTAGTAACATTTCATGTGCTTGTTTATCTGCGAACTGGTCTGCAACATGCCCCTTTTTTGGTGTCAGATATGCTTGCAGATGTATGCATGTTTTGTTTTTTTGATGCATCTTATTGCCTCAATGAAAGGGAGGATGATGAAAATGTCAGACAATAATCTGATAGCAGCAATGCAGGTGAGGTTTACAGCATGCATCTGCACGGTGAAATGAAATATGAGGTCTGGCGTGTCTCCCCCTTGCTAAAAATAGAACAGAATAAAGAACGGTTCCTGCTTAGGTAATTGTGAAGACTTTTTCACGATTGATGGCTCATATTGCAACTGTCAGTTTGACGAAGATCAGATTAACAGAGGTTGGTAAGAACAATGGGGGGGGGGGACGACACTCATATCGGGAGGGGGACGTAAGTGTAGAAGATGATCATTTGTTTTACGTAAAAGTTTGCCCGCGCGTGTGTGTGTGCCTTTGCCTGCGCATGCATGTGTGACCCTGAGTGGGTGGAGGTTTCCCCTCACAAAAAGCAAAAATTCCACTTCCTGCGTTTTGAAGTTTTAGCTGCACATCTACATGTCAAAATAAACAACTGCATATGCATACATGTGCAGTTGTTGTTCATTGCACAGTTTACAGGGTCACACAGGTGACAGAGGGAACTCTTCCTTTACATCAAAATGTTTCTAGGACATTGTACAAACTAAACACTTCAAACAGCACCTGATGCAAGATGGAAATGGAACATATTGCATAAGGGAGAAGACATGTATGCCAAAAAAAGAAAAAGAAGTCAATTGAAACTAGAGAAGTCGGTCTCTGCAGCGTTTCTCTTGCATTGTCCTTGGTCAACATAACCTTATGAGATTCAAAACAAAACGGAGACTTGTTAAAAAAATGAAAAAACGCCACAACTTCAACCAACCAGTCTTTGACACAGTGCTATGCCAAATACGTTGTTTGTGTGTGTGTGTGTTTTATTTGCTCTCTGCCACCTTGATGCAATCACATATAGAGATGAATCAAACGTGCGTTCGTGTTGCAACAAGGAGGTGTGATCATTTCACACCTTCACACAGGATCTGAACACTTGTTTCCTTTCAAGGGCTTTTGAGCACTCGCCGGACAAATCTCTGTTGCCGCAGAGTTTACAGAAAGTCTGATCAATTAATCAGTGGCAGATGAGTGGGATTTCTGAGAGAATGGATTCTGCGCCGATTAAAAGGATTAAACAGATGGATGGACAGATTGCTGGAAGAATGATGGGACCAGAGGATAATTGCTTTGTTTGTTTTTAAACCTGTAAATTATATCATTTTTGATTCAAATTAAAATAAAGATGTTTGCGTTTGTCACACCACCTCCAAATGAATTACCAAACATTTCACGGGATCTGCACGATAGCTCCCGAGAAATTGAACACAGTGGTGTCTGTGGAGTCAAGTGAAAGCAGAGGGTTGCAAATTTTGGTGACAACAACATGTACATTTGCAAACAGATTAGCCTGCTGTAATTGTAGAAGACAAAGCCTCTGTGCATGTGCATGGGGAGGGGGTGAAGTCCCTTTATAGGTTGGCAGTAGGTACCGGGGAACACTTTACATAATTTTCCAAGGGCCCCAGACATGATGGGAGCGCATTTTCACAGGAACTCACCCTCGGGGAAAATGCAAAACATACACCCTTTGCAGTCAGGTGGGCAAGTAGTCCAAACAACTAAAGTACACACAGATGATACATAAAAGGTATTTAAAGTAGCAGGTTGAGAAATTAAAAGATAATCGCATTCAAATCCATAAATGCTGAAGGAATGGAAATAGTGGTTTTGTTTGTTTGTTTGTTTTAAAAAACAACAACCGAAAAACATGTGTTTTGTTTAATTTTCATGTACTCGCTACATTCATTAAACATGTATTAGTAGCTAAAATATGAAATATCTAACAATCAGTTAAAAAATAAAAATTCCCACTGGTTTTAGGCATGTGATATATTTTTTAAAATACACATTTATTCTCAGTTAACAATTAGTAAATATGTAGCTACACACCCACACATAATCACGTTAACCTTTCTGATGTTTCCAGTGCTCGCTTATATGCAAACACATACGGCCTTCCCGACACTGTGCACAGAATCTTGTAGGATGAGACCATGAGCCATCATTAAAATCATTCAAATGAACCACCCTGTGCACACACTGTTTTGCAAAGGGGGTAGCTATCACAATACCTCTCCTTAACCTGCCCAATAGCACCCATGCAAATGTCCCCAGCTAAAGAGTCAATGGGCTTTGGGCTTCCTCCTCAGCCTTCTACAAAGGAATTTTCATATACCCCTGCTCCTTTCTTTCAGTTTGGTTTCAGATGACTCAAGGTAGTTTTACATATTACCCTCAAAGAAAAAGATACATCTGGGGCCTGTGCAGAAAACACACACACACTTTCACTTTAATTTCCGTCTTTTCTTCCAAGTGATCCCAAACTCACATAAAGACTGCTTGTTTACTGATGTTGTGGCACTTGAATGTTTCGGTGTCCTACAGAATGTTATTTCTGCAGAAATATCCTCAAACCATCATTGCGCTTTAAAAGGATCTGTTGATGCTCAGAGAAGGTTACACAACCATCTCTGGAGTTTAGACTTCTTCACTTCACAGTCAGGCAGAAAGAAGAGGAAGTCAGGCAGACAGAAGACGAAAAAACACCAGGCCATTATCACCCTTAACAGCAGTGATCAACAAACAAAAGATCTCATCGCAAGCAAGGTGTGTCACAAGATCTGAAGACCTGTTTTGCATTAGTTAATGTTAATCCTTCTTAATGGATCGTCAGGAGAACACTGCACAACAACAGACAGCAAGGAGACAGCCACCGCTTCTGCAGGTTGCAAGACAAGCCAGGGGATTGCTGGAAAATGTTTATTTAAAAAAAAAAAGCAGAGAAGTGTTGTGTTTGCACAGAGGACACTGCTACTTCCATCTGTGAAACATGGTGCTTTTTAATGTCAGGAAAAGCTGAATTTGGAACGACACCATTCTGGCTCATGTAGCATAAAATTAGCCCTCTGCACACAGTTTGTCCCAGTAAAGAATGGTTAAATGTAAAAAGTTAAAGGTCAACTACACTTATATTTTTGCGGGGGGATCTTGGATTGCAGTCTTACAGGATAACAGCTATTTAATTAAAGTTGAATTTGAATAGATCAAAAAGTCATGGCTGTACACAGTGCTAAGAAATAATACAGAGTGGACATTGAGCTTGCTAGGTCGAGTAGAGGACAAGCAGCAAAATGTGTTTTATACAATGGAATAATAATATACTACAACACAGTAATTATGACCATTTTGCTCTCCTCAGCTTGATGTAATCAGCTGACTTAAAGCAGTCCTCATTTTACCCTTTCCAAAAAGATCTATGAAAAAATGGGAATTAATGGGGAGCCCTTGCTTGTTAATAACAAAAGTTGGATCTAGAAAATGTGTTTTACTGTTTTAGTTAAAAAACCTTAGAGAATTCATTTGGGGAGCAATTTAAAGATAATTTTAAGTGATTATTTTATTCTTTATCAGATTTTGATCGTCAAGTCAACATGTGTAGCCCCATGCTAAGAAGACTACGTCCCTCTAAATATCCATGACTTTCAATGCAATGCATCAAATATATGAATCTTATACATAACACATTTTGTGGTACACACATTTGAAATTATCCACACGGCCGTTATTTTTGTCTCATTTAAAGTGGTTGAAGTTAATCAGAGAAGACCAGAAGGGCTGTGTTCATGCAACTTGAGGCCCCTTTCACTTAGTATGATGTTCAAATTCACAGGCCCACAATCAGAAGAGTCCCAAACACTGTGGCAGCATGGTGTGTATAGCAAGGCATGAAAGCAGAAAACAACTGCTCTCCAAAGAAACACAGCAGCTTTGCAAGATTACGTCCAGAAAGGGTTATATGTAGATAATCCTCGATAGATGGGATTGTTATTAAATGTACAGTAAAGCATTATGTTAAAGACAGGAAACAGGTGATTTACAGTAAAAGCTTTATTTGTGAAAAACAATGTTAGTGGCATGCTTTGGGCCACTAACCAAACCATTTTTTCTTTTTTTTGTGCACTGATACACCAATCAGCCAGTTTCAGATGATAATAATGGCGGACACACCCACACCAAGCATAGGTTCACAAACTCACACATTCTTATGAATGCTCAGAGAAAAACCCATATTTGCATGAAGGAGCCTGAATAATCTGCATTTGCAAAGCACACCTACACATATCACTGGGGTAGGTCATTAGTGGGTCATTAGTGGGTCCTTTTAAGTTTTTGATCAACAGCAAAGGGGCTGCATCTACATCTCAAAGTGATTAAACGACTCTCCTCCAGCAAAGCACAATAGGTCCTATCATATAATAGGTAAATAGTTTAAAATGCATTATAAGCACCTGAGAATACTTTTCTCCCCTGCCTCTTTACTGACCAAATGGTTTATCTGGGCTCATTGTTCACTCAATTAAGACATGTAAGCCTGTGGTAACAATATGAGTTGATCCCCTCAGAAAAGTAAGTTAAATAGGTACAAATTTTCTTTAGTGCCATTATCAGTTAAAAAAAAGAGGTGAAATTGTACATGTTTTTTCTTATATGCTACTTTTCCCTCATTTGTCAAAGATCCGTTTCTCCCAAGGGAGACAATAAAGCCTAATCTAACAGCACATTATCTAAAACCAGTGCTGTTCATATATTTTCATATATATGTTGTTTTAACACACATAGCTGTCTGTTTCTCACTCCTTTTTGGTATTAGAGACCCTTCAGTTCCTCTTCAGCCTGAATGCAAACAAACACAGCTTCAAACTAACAGACATTAAAGAGCTTAAGGATTCTTTAGGTTTTATCACTGGCTGTGTAAACACTGCGGGTCGTTCAGGTACTTGAGGCAAAACTGACAGGACTGTAACTTGTGTACTCAGGAGTTGCCTGCGACGTATGAGGACAACCAAAATGAAGATGAAAAAAATAGATTAAGCAATCTAGTAGGGCACACTTTGAAGTTGTAGTCTACCTCATTTAACTCATGTCCAAAGCTATAAACTGGAAAAAATTGTACTTGCTTCCCTTCACTGAGCCATATAAGCACTTTTAGTGGCTGCATTAAGTGGCGAGTTTTTAGTCTACAGTAATGTGTGTGTGCATAAGCCTCCATCAGCCTGTTATTATCATTACTTCTCTGGAACAATAGATTGGTATCGGGTGATGGTAATCACAAGTGATTAGGACAATACGGCTGCGTATGTAGGAACAATAAGAAGACACATTTAAACCAATAAAGCATTAACCCACCCACCCCCCATGAAATGAATGGTTGAGTAGAGACAGCTCTAGCAATTCAGAGCTTCACCAAAACAAACTACACACAATATGTGACAAATGAGTTGGTTAAATAAAGAATAATTCCGAAGCTTTGCGGTATTACTAAGAAATAAGCAATATTGTACAAGCCACGTGCATTAATAAGCGCAAACTCATCCAGTCTGTAGTTTCAATATTGATTATTTTCAGAAAATTCAAAGAGAAGAAATCAACCTAAAGAGGCAGTCATGTGTGGTTTAAAGGCGCCTATCCTGTGAGATAAGTGCAAATAAAGTACCACAAAAAAGTTTAGTGCAATTGCAAGTTCTGTAACTTTTTTTCTTTTTTATGGGCAAACAATAACACAAGGCCTGTTCTATGTTTTATCACCAAGAAACATCTGTGGCACCAGGAGGCACCCTACAAACAGGTAGGCAATCACCACTGGGCTCATTGTAACTTCACTTTCCTTGCATGCCATAAACCTATTTGTATTGTTTTCTTCAGACAGATGCATTTCCTTCTCCTTTTGAGTGACCTGGCTGGTGCGCTTAAGGACACGTTTGAGAAAATCAACCAGGAACTTGTATTACAAGACAGGACCAACTCTCTCACACTATATTGGGCACTTATTAAGGAGTCCTGCTGCTTCCCCAGTTTGATCTATCTCTATAGAAGAAACGATCAAATCAATAACTAGTAAGGTTCATGACAACTTTTCCTTTTGGCTTCGCTGCTGCATTGTACCCTGACCTGTTCAGAATTATATTAATAAAAGAGCTATTAAACTTCCTCTCCTGAGATATTGCATCATTAGGCAGGTTTCATGTGTACTATCTGAGTAGAGGCTTACAAAAATAAGGTCAGAGATCACTTTTTTTATCATACAAAGTAGATCCCATATCGCATTCACTTATTAACCCTATTCAAAGCACATTTCAAATAGGCATCTTCTGGCAGAACGATATGTCATACAAATCCTGTCTATTTTCATTACTTTACTTTATACTCTCTCCACTGGGAAGCTGATATCTTTTGCCATTATCTTGTGGCTGTATTGTATTTTATTCTGACTTTCATATCCCCCTGAAAGGAGAGGAAACCTGTCACATACACCATTAATAGGGTCAGACCTAAATCCAATGTATTTAATTTGTCCTAATAAATAGAGTGAATGTGACCAGTTAGCTTAGCATGTATTTTATCTAATTTTATGTTAAAATGGTGTCTACTAAAGCCAGTTGTGGTTTTGATAGTACGGGGTCTCTCACTGCAAAACTCAACATGCTTTCAGGATATATCTACGAGAAACATCACATTTTCTTATAGGCGGCATCTGCTTGTCCATTAAAACTCGGACTTGCTTAAACTGTAGACAGAGAAATTGTCTTGAAGAAACGCCTGGGGGTCCACAGCCTCAGGCCACGACCGAGAGGCGCCAAATACAGACTGGAGGCGCGGCGTATTGGTGAAGGGCGAGCACAAGGGGCGGGAAGGGGCGGGTCCGTAGAATCAGCGGTCGCGTTTTAAAAGTGAAGCTGAAAGTGAGGAGCGAGAGCAAGTCAGTGCTGTCTGTCGGCTAGGTGCTTACCGCGTTCACCAAACACTGTCAGCAGACTTTAAGCATGATTCGGCGGTCCAGAAGCAGGTAAGAGAAACATGAGCAACGACTTTAGCAGCTTTGAAGCTTTCCTTTCTGTCTCTCAATGCCTCACAGCTATTACTGTAGTTTTCTCGTGAGGCATTATTTCACTTGGATACGGCGTGAAGTAAGTGCGAAGAGTGCATCCTCTTGCCCTAGCTCGCGCGTGTGTGTTTATGTTTATATATATATTTTTGATATATTTTTTACTTCATATATACATTATATACATATATATATATATGGTCAGCCTGTACTGTGCGCGAGCCCTTTACTTTTCTTCAGAGCTGTGGAGCGCTCGCGCCAATGACAGGTGGCTGGTCATCGCTCGGCTGTGACAGTGCTGTGCCGTGCACGCTTCGCCGTGTCTTAACTCGCGGATAGTAAAAACAGGCTGCAAAGCAGTTCATCTGCCACCGATTTTCGCTCTTTTCGATGAAAACTTGCACACGCTACACACACGACTGCTTCCCAGCATCTCCGACCGAGCGCGAGGAGCGATGGATATTATTTTGGAAACCTGCGCTCTACTCCACGCGGAGACCCAATGCTATTTTTTCTCCCTTAAATTACACACATTAGGTCTTGTGCGCGAATCTCATGTTTGAGATGTCGGGGAGCCTTTTTGAGGAGCTTCTTTGCACACACACAAAAAAAAGCCACCGTTTACCTCAGTTTACAGACGTGTTTTTATCTCGTTTTATCCTCATCGTAATTAGAAGAAACTGCACCCGGAGTTAATTTGATTGGTTTAAAAGTAATTATCACTTCTTTTCATGGAGAGCCGATCCAGCTGATTAATCGTTAATCTTGAGAGCGCTGTAATCATCTTCTATTGTTTGCTTGCTTTTTTGTTTGTTTCACGCTAATTATCTCATTTGCGCTGAAACGCAGAGGTTGTTGGATAAAATTGAGAGAAGTTGTTTATTTGTTCGCCTCTGCGAGTAGTAGTCACGCATTTGGGCAAAAGGAAAATAAGGAAGATTATGGCGTGTAAATATCCTTCTGTACGCATGCACACACACACACAAACACACACGCACGTACACACACAGTGGGGTTCCTCTTCACCTGTCGTACTGTATGACAGCACAACTATCTACCTGTCCCGCATTCTGATTAGTTGACCACATGGTGTGTGTGTGTGCGTGCGCGCGCGCGAACGTAAACTCTGTGTGCACGTGTGCGTGTGTTTCCGTGTGCGCATGGCTGTGCTGTACAATGCCCTGTGCAAGTTTGAACACGCCAGGGTCACAAAATTATGATCGCATGTGCCAATCCAGGTATCTGTGGAAACTAAAAACACTGGAACCTGTTCGTCCTCCCCTTCCTCCCCCCCCTCTCTCTCTCACACACACACACATGCACACCCCCTGTGGGTGTCTTGGCTAAAAGCCTGCAGCCAAACCTTCAAGAATGACTGGTTTTCTCTCTGTGTTGGAGTTAAGCGAGTGACTAAAAGAGAGGGCTGAGTTTTTTTTAATGCACCTCATAAAGAGATTAATAGGGAGTAGTTTAGAACAAGTAAAGTACTTATTGTCCTATTATTCTCCTGTCTATTATCCTACACTCTTCTTTTTCCACGCAGACTCCACCTTTTTTTTAAAATGTTGCCCTCTGTGTGTGTGTGTGTGTCTGCAGTCTGTACAGCAGTGAGGATGACGAGGAGGAGACTGAGATGTATGAACATGATTATGATGGATCATTGCCCAAGCCTGGGAAACGCCAGCTCGGCAAGACACGCTGGACACGAGAAGAGGTATATACACACACGCGTGCGCACACACACACACACACACACACACACACACACACACCCGTCAATACAGTTCAAATTCTGCTGTTCAATACTAAATATTAGTGACATATTTTTAAAAAATGTACTCTCTTTTTTCAGGATGAGAAGTTGAAGAAACTTGTTGAACATCATGGAGCAGAAGACTGGAAAGTAATTGCAAGCCTATTAACTGTAAGTAGCAGGCATGAGGCCCTGATTTGTCTGCGTGCAACTTCCCATTATGTGGAGATGATCACAAACTGTATTTTGTTTTTCTCTCTCTACACAGAACCGTACAGATGTGCAGTGCCAACACAGGTGGCAGAAGGTTCTAAACCCAGAACTCATTAAAGGACCGTGGACCAAAGAGGAGGACCAGAGGGTAAGAGCACACTGTACTTTTGGGGGGGCTTGGGGGGGAGGGTAGCATGGAAAACTGTAAATATAAATGCAAGATTAACTTGCATGTGGAGTTTGTAGTGTGCTTTAGCCGTGTGTTATGTTATAACAGCCATTAGTGGTGACCTTACGGTGTAATTGTTAGAGTGGGCTTTATACTAACTGGATACCACTGAGATCAACAATTACTTTGTGTTCCTGTGTTTAAAGCAACTTCTCTGTAGCAACTCCTGAACTGTGGTTGCACACTTTTACTCATCCTTACACAACATATAACACGTTTAGGAGTTATATTTCCACCCAGATGCCACTGTAATGATTAGCAGAGTGGCTAATGTTCCAATGGAAACTCCCTCACTGCTCACCAGCAGGTGTTCTCAATCACTTACACTAGCGAAAGATCAAGAAAGAGAGAGAAGGAGGAAGGAAAAGCAGTGCATTTAGTAAAACTTCTGAGATTTTTATGGATAATAATTGTTTTTATTTCTTCTCTCCCTCCTGTTTTCATATCTCTGTACCACTCTACTTCTCCCTCCCCTCCCTGTTATTACTCCTTCCTTCCTCTTTCCCCATGCCCCTCTACTACCATTCACTTCTTCCTTTTCAACATTCTCCCTCCTCCTCCTCTCTTGCCTTTCCTCTTTCTCTCACCCCTCACAACCCTAAAAATCCCCAGGTGATCGAGCTGGTCCAGAAATACGGCGCCAAACGCTGGTCAGTGATCGCCAAGCACCTGAAGGGGCGAATTGGCAAGCAGTGCCGCGAGCGCTGGCACAACCACCTGAACCCAGAGGTTAAGAAGACTTCCTGGACGGAGGAGGAGGACAGAATAATCTACCAGGCGCATGAGAAGCTGGGCAATCGCTGGGCAGAAATCGCTAAGCTGCTCCCTGGCAGGTGAGGTGGAGAGAGGGAAGAAGAGGCAGAAAAGGAGAAGCTAGATGAATCACTGAAACCTTGTTGGTTAGCTGCGCAATGTTGCGGTTAAGAGGCTGAAATGGAGGGGAGGGCACGCCAATAAAAGTGAGCATGAGAGAAAATGGAGTTGTGGACATAGAACGCAAGCTGGGAAAGAAAGGTTAAAAGGCTAAGTTAGGACGTGGGGGGAAGGTGTAGAATGACAGAAGAGAAAAGAGATAAATATGTGGTTATTGTAATTGCTTTGCACTGATAACCTTATCAATTGCGCACATTTTTAAGTATGCGTGTATGTGCGTGACTGAGACTTTTCCTATCTCCCTCAGCGTGTGCGTGCGCCTGCATTGATAAAGCTGCTGTGCGCAGCTAGAGGATGTCACATCACCTTTAAGTTAACACATGTCCCTTATGACCCGCAGGACCGACAACGCTATAAAGAACCACTGGAACTCCACCATGAGGAGAAAGGTGGAACAGGAGGGCTACCTCCAGAACACAGCCAAGAACAGCAGCCCCTCGCTTCCCGCCAGCCGCACTTACGTGAAGACCAACAATCAGATCATGTGCTTTCCCCAACAGCCCGGTCACACGCAGCTGACTTCCAACTTGCCACTCAGCTACGCCACCTACCTGTCTGACGCACGTAGAGTAAGTGGGCTTTAAACCAGAATTTAGGCAGATCTCCGCCCGCAAGACCTTGCATTTATTAACGTCTGCTTCTTTCTCTGTAACAGGTGCACTCCACTCCACTCCTCTCATTCAATATGAACATACTCAACATTCCCCAAGTCCAGGTAAGAATCGCAAACCTGAGCGGCGATCGAAAGATGGGGAAGATGAGTTGTTTGGATTGAATTGGTGCTCACGCATTTCTTCTGCTCTTTCAGAGACACTATAACGAGGAGGACCCTGAGAAGGAGAAGAGGGTGAAAGAGATCGAAATGCTGCTCATGTCAACAGAAAATGAACTGAGGGGCCAGCCATCACTACCGGTGAGTCACACTCGGATCTGTGTCTGGATTCAGGAGGGTGAAACATGTGACAGCACAATTTATGTGTTTTTTGGTTTTTTTGACCCTGGCTTTAAGGACAGTGGTTGGACTTGTGTTTTTTGTGTGTGCATGAGGAGGAGGAAACATCTGGGTGGTCTGTTTCTGCAAAAAGTGATGCAATAGGATCTTATCACCATTTCTTTTGGGTTTGCATGACCCCTTGTGCAATTCTCTACTCAACACTTCTTCTGTCGGCCTTTATATTAAAGTTCCCCTTCTCATTTGATCACGGTTGAGCGTTCCCTGCGCTTCTTATATCTTGTGCTTCCTTTGCACTCGCTCCTCTGTGCTTTTGTGTTTTCAGGTGATTATTCTTTTCCAGTCTGTAACATTTTTTTCCTCTCTCCAGATATGTTCGTTCTATCAAAACTGGACCAACCAGAGCTCCATGTCCAACAGCTCAGAAGGTGCTGCTCTGCCTTTACCTCATCACCAGGCAGCCAGCCAGGAACTGTCTCTTGACCAGAGCAGCTCAGCTGAGGACAGCGCCCCCACAACACCCGTCGAAGGCATTAACGGCAACAACAGCAACAACAACAACAACAGTCCCCACAACAGTCCTGCGTTCTCAAATCCAATGCCGGGGCTTATGGAATCCATGATTGACTCAGTAAGTATCTTCCTTACACTGTGTCGTGCTATATTATGTTTTTATTTTTGTCTGTCATGATCAACTGGAACCAGTTGAAGAAGATGCCCTATAAATTAGAAACACAGATATAATAGCGGGCCTTGACCCAGAATTTCCCACCCTTTTCCCAGAGCCTGTTAGCAGTGGGTTCTTGGAAAGAAGCGCTCTTAAAGCAGACAGGGTCTTGCCCAATCGGTGCTCAGCAACTGCTAAAGAATCATTGACTGGTTTCATGTCGAATGAAGTCACAAATCTACTCTGTTCACCCTCACAGGTCACATGACCTGTGCTTACACAGTCACCGCACAAAACTAGTGTTTGTCCCATTGTTTAGCTTAGCTTAGCGTGCTACACGAGTTGCCTGGTTGTCAAAGCCTTGTCAGGGGTCTTTAATTTAATGTTTTCTTCCTTTTTATTTCACAGTTCCTCAACCAGCCAGTGAGCCCAGAACACTCAGACAATCTACCCTTTAACTCGCCTGTGCCTGCAAGCCTCCTAAATGATAATGAATTGTAAGAAGCTTTTGTTCTCATCACTTTTATTATGCAAACCTGTTATTGTTATATGAGCCTTTTTTAACAGCTGGCTTTTTTGCGCTTTTTCTTTCCTCTCTCCTCAGGCTCATGACGCCCAATATGTGTGAGTCAATTCTGGAGTCAACCCCACGTACACCCACGCCTTTGAGATCAGCCTCGACCCATCAGGAGATCAAATATGGCCCCGTTAAACTAATGGTGAGAGACTTTAATGTGTGTATATATCCCTCGGTGCTTAAATTGACATGCAAACTGCTGCTTTCCACACTGCATTGTCCTCGGGACTCACTCTGAGGTTTGTGTTGTTTCCAGAACACCACTTTGGGGCAGCAGATGGTTGGGTCCATCAAGCAGGAGCCAGTGGAAGATGCCATTAAGCATCCTCCATTTAAGAAGATAAAGCAAGAGGTACTTTCCACCCTACATATGCATGTACAGATATGCAAAAAAAAGAGCATGCGCATATGATGTGAGACTGACATAAGAAGTGTTATTTTGTATCTTAAGAAAATAGCGAACAAGGGTGAAATATCAAACCCAGCCATTTGCATGTTGCGGTTGTGTTTTGTTTTTGTTTTTTAGTTACATTTTGCAACACGTTTGACATCAGCTTAAAGAATAGCTTGAGGTTAATTTTTGTAAGCCAAGCTTGTGTGACTTGGTTACAAAAAGAGGAAAATGTGGTGCTTTAAATGACCGTGTTGTGTTTTTTTCCGGGGGTCCTAGGTCGAGCTCCCATGCAAGAGGAGCCACTGCATGCAGTGGGCAGGGCAAGAACTTAACAGGCAGCTCTTCTCCCCCAGTCGCCCAGCTCAGGAAGTATCGGTAAGTTGACATTTGACCTTAAGTCAGACCTTCTTATGTGTTTTTGTTTTGTTTATGTGAGTCCATCAATGAGTATGCACAGGATCAACCCTAAGATCCTTTACTATGCACCCCTTTTCAGTCATTGTACTGTAATTATTGTGTTGTTAACAAGTGTTGTATTTTTCTTTCAGGACCTACTTACAAGCTCACTCTTGAACGAAGACGGACACAAAATCTACCAGCTCCCTCACAGAAGCCTGAATAACCCACTACAGGTTTGTGTGTAATTAAATCATAAATTTATAAAATAGCTTTGCATGTTAACATAAAAACTCATCATCTTCGTTTTTTCTTACAGCAGCAACAGCTGGGTTCCTGGGATCTGTTGGCCTCCGGGAAAACAGAGGAGCACATACTGGCCTCGGAACACAAGTTCTTGAGTGCTTTCCCTTCAAGGACACTGATGATATAGACTGAGATAAATGCTGATCCAAACACATCAACTTTTCCTGCACTGGAGTTTAAAAAAAGAAAGAGAAAAAAAGCCCTTAGCTCAACCAGGCTAAGGTGTTTAGCCCCCCAGCTGAAGCAGTAGAAAATGGTTGGAGCAATGGATGGATCAAGCAGATGTTTACTTGTTTACTTCTGGAACACAGGCGTTTACGGCATCACTGGGTTCAAAACTCAAAGAGTTTTTGCTTTCACCTACACTTGTGGAACAGACGGGCGGATACATATTTGCGGTGGTACAGTCATTGGGAGAGGCTATATGCCACTGTTTTTTTCACACTTACATTTGTTGGATTTGTACCAACCAAAGACTTTTTTTTAAGGGGGGAGGGGGGGGTGACTTTTTTAAAGTTTTTAAATTTTTAAATTTCCACACTTGTGGAACAGACGGGCGGATACATATTTGCGGTGGTACAGTCATTGGGAGAGGCTATATGCCACTGATTTTTTCACACTTACATTTGTTGGATTTGTACCAACCAAAGACTTTTTTTAAGGGGGGAGGGGGGGGGGTGACTTTTTTAAAGTTTTTAAATTTTTTAAATTTTCTTTGGTTTTATTGTATTACAAACGGGGAAATGGTGACCATGTATGCCTTGGGCTGTATTATTAATTACACATGTTGATAGTAATATAAAGAACAAGCTCATTAATTTATTGATTTTTTTTTTTTACATTATGACTTTGTTGCTGTTGTTTTACAATTGGCCAATGGAGCAGTGTTGTATTTCAGAGTATTTAAGCCCTTTTAGCATTATCGTACATCAAAAGTCATAATGATTATTTTCTAACTGACCTCTGTATTTCACACATGAAACAGTTTTTATTTTGTTTTGGTTTTTTACCTTTTTTTGTCCTTTTTTTTTAATTATTAAGGGGTTTTTAATGGGTCTACTGAGAATTTCAAGTGTTTGGTCTTTGCCACCTCATGTAAACACTCCACTGCTGAACAAGGACTGCTCGGTCTGTTCTCGCACCACTATGCAACTACAATTTTTATACTTTTTTTTATACAACAGAAAGGGGCCAGCCTTTTTAGTATTACCTGACAACCACATCGGCGCCTTTATTTCATAGGAATTGAGTTTTCATTTCAAGTTTTTGTGATTTATTTCTGGCCTTCACAGTATCCCCCCCAACCGGGAAAAGATTCAATGAACAAGCAATTCTTAGAATTTAGATACATATATATATATCTACAGAAAGAGAGAGAATTTATTTATACATTTGAAAATCCGAAATGCATTTATATTTGAAACCTGAGCTTCACCCAGTAAGAGTAAGACCAAGCTGCACTTGAATTTTATATTCTCCTTAAAACTGTGAGAGTAGCAAACACTGATATTAATGCTACAGCCAAAATCCCATTTTTTTTAAAAAAAGAGAAAGAAAGAAACATTTCTTCTGATGGATTTACACTGTTGTAAAAGTACACTCAACAAGCATTTTGTGTCCTTTAACGAAACTGCAGTAACTCGTGTCAAACACTTAGCACACTTTTTGTAAAAGCATTTACACATGCCAAGTTTTTATACTTCTACTTTTGACTGCCTACTCAATAAAGTGTGCTGTTTTTATAACAACCTTGTGTTCAGTGTTTAATCTCTGACGTTCAGCGTACTAAAGTTGATAGCAGTTCAAACACAGCTGCTCGTGGACAATAATATATGGAAATAACATTTTCATATATTTAAGCTGTAATGTGCAAAGTTCAGCCCAAGAAGCCTACGTTCTCAGTGTAAATAGCACTCCAAATAGCCGCACCATTATGTACAATAATTATTGCCTTTTAAACTGAATGAACTATTTATCCTCTCCAAAGTGTAATCTATCTCTAGTATTCAAATTCCTCTACGGATTATAGTATTCAAATAGCCCTCGCTTTTGCGCACACATAAACTGATACAAAGGTTTGTTGTCATAAAATTGTGTGGACCATATCATATCATAAAACCTTCTCTCCCATCTGCCGCTCACCAAGTGAGTATAGAGTTTATCAGCAAGCAAAGAAAATAAGCAAATGTTTCCAACCGTTCCTTCTTTTTCCATGGATAAGCAGGGACCACTCAGGTGCATGTCCCAGAAATACAAAGAAACATTTTGCCCTGGACTGCTTTCACTTTTTTTGCTTTGCATAAACATGCTATCAACTCATTTAAACACAGACATATGCACTAACATGACTGTGGGCAATGTGAAAATTGTTATATTACTTGTCGCTGCTCGCCAAAAAACGCTCGTAAGTATGAGCTCCACATTCAGTCTCTTGAGGAGACTTTCTTTCCTGTGAGGCCTTAGCAAGCTAAGGGGCCCAGACTCAGACCAGGAGCTATATTTACACCCCCTCCCCATCCACACGTTCTCACATCCCCCACAACACCTTCAGCCACCTGCACCCCCCTCCCAACCTCGCCCTGATCCACCACACTGCCCGTAAATATAGATTCCCATCTCTTAAGTGGTAGTCTCAGAGGGATTCATAAACAGAAATGGCAGTCATCAAGACGGACATATCTAACAGGAACTGTGATATTTAAGACCGGGGCAAACAGAAATAGTTTCTTTGTGGGTGTAAGCATGCTTAGTCCATCCACATGTTCACAATGTTGTGGTTTTTAGCTATTGTAACAACAATGGTTGAAAAAAAAACCCCAGAAATGACAGCAAAGGCCTGATGAGGGCTGCTTGAATTTGAACGACGGGTTTGACAATCCCTGTCAGCAAATGTAGAGTGTGTGGTTTTATATGTGTGTGTGTGTGGGTGGGTGGGGGTGCCTTGTGGAAAGAGGCTATAGCACGAAGCAGACTTTCACCCTGGGAATTTCACCATCTTCTACTAGACCCCCCTGCCAGAAAAAAGCCCAAACCCCAAACCCCACAGGATTCACAGACACCTGCTTCCACTGAGTGAGAAGGCAGCTGCTTGTGTGCATACTGAATGGTAGTGGTTTACTGATAATAAAAAAAAAAGAACAATATATACTGGGATGAGAGATGCAAGACACAACGTATCTTTACTCTTTTGCAGTCCCCGCTTCACCATTCAACAAACCTCACTGACTAAGCGAATAAAACAAACAAACCAGGCTTTACGTGCGTCTGCTTATTTCAATAAATGAAAAACTGAGTGTCCACTTGTGACTGTTATCAGAGCAGCGCTGTCTATCAGAAGAGGTTGTGGTAATGCACAAAGTCATCTTTTGTCGATAGTGAATAATTATTTATTTTATTTTTTCCCCCGAGTTCATTTCAGTTCACGTCAGGGTTGCTGTCCCCTCACACAGATCAAACAGAGTTTTATGTAGTTTAAATCATGTAAAACAGAAGAAGAGCTTCAATTGTAAAAAATGCAAAAGTGGCTTGTAAATCATTGCATGTGCACCTACATTCATTTAAGCTCAAAGAGGCTCTTATTGGCTGTTTATGTGGGTCACAGGGGCAAAAGCTGCTGTCATAATGTTGCTCTTGTTTCTGCCTGGTTCTGTTTAGGTGAAGTAAAGCAACCTCTAGTTATATCCTTTTTCCATGGTCTGTTTTTATTGGGTAATTATAAAGTCATATTTTAGAATTATAACTGCATTTTTAAGAGTTTCACCTGCCACTGAGTCACACTGTTACATTTTTACAAGGTATTTAGCTCTAAAAGTCAAAGTAGAAGTTTACTTTCACTGCTAGTGTTGGTTTTTTTTTTATTCCATCCTCCTTTCCCTTTTCAAATCAAACATGTCTGTCGCAAGCAGATTGGCTCATAAATTCGGTTTGTGTGTCACAATAGATTTATAGCAGGATGTTGCAGAAATGGCGGGCTCCTGAACGTGCGCGTGCATATGCACAAAAACACACACATGCCACTAGTTCACACGCTGGCCAGCGTGCTCTGGGTCTGCATAGATTACTCTAGCCTGATTTCCTCATTCACTTGTTGCTGTTGTGGTCGGAGATATTCAGGCAAGAGCAGCCGCTCCCTGCTGGCAGTGGTCAGGTAGAAGGGCAGAGCTGTGCTGGCTGGGCCTGATAACTACCGTCCCCATCCATGCTACAGAGAAGAGGAGAAAAATGGGAGGGGGGGGGGAAGCAAAAAACAACAGAGCTCCATGAAGTTGAAATTGGAGTTCCTACAATTACAGAAACCTGTATGTAAAATGTCACAATGTAGGTTGTAAAAAAGGCCTTTAAAGCAGGTTATTTGGTGGTTATTTGTGTGGAGGAGGTCAGCAGAGATCCGACAATTTACTAGCATGCATAAGGCATAAAAAATATTAAAACAATCCATGTGTAGACACATAAATGAATTAATAACATCATTTTAATGGGACAATTTTGTCCCAAATATGCACAGAATGTATATAAAATGTAGATGCAATCTCTGGGTCTGAAAAAAAGCTAGCGTGCCTAAAACCCTCGTTCCTACCACTGGTCAAAGGTGGGCGACTTTTCAGGTTGCTAAAAAAGTCTGACGGGAAAATGACCCGACTTCTAACTTGATTTATGACCTCAGCAAACACTTTCTTAATGAGTGTGCAGTCTCAGTTGATAGTTTCATATTCTGTTTGATACAACATGACGTTCAATTTGGAAATTACTGTTCCATTTGTGACAACCTAAACAACAACGGACACACCCATTCTAAATGAAACAGTTCACACTGGCCAAGTCATTTCACAAAACAAATTTACGGCATTCTTTTTCCATTATTTTTCGCCTGCGAATAAACTGATCTGACCAATCAGATCACTGCATTTGGCAACAAGTGCGCTCGTTGTTCAAATAGTGCACCGGTAGTGAAAAGTCGGGCACGTGCCCCACTGGCATGTACGAAAGTACTTTCTTTGTGTACTTATGTTATTCTAAAATTTCACATCCAAAAATTTGGAATTTTGAGTCTTACTTTCACAATCCCCCTGGTGTTTATTCATTTCATTTACAATGAAAATTAATTTGAAAATGATATGTTACATTTTCAAAAAGGAAACTTGACTAGTGCAACTTTAATCGGTGACCAAGGAGTACCGCCTGGATTAGCTAGGTCAAAGGTTAAGGAGAATACCTCAAAATACCTCCCTTTTCACATGTAACATGTAGCAGCTAGGAGTTAAATCCTGATTGGTTTATTTACAACAGTTTTTTCTGAGAAAATATTGGGTGACAGTGAATTCTTGGACACACAGATAGGCTTGTTCAACCCGTGTGTGACCTGAAACCACAGGCTCATTGTTGCTGGTGACACATTTAATGTTAGAATCACCAAGTCAGTTAAACAGCTGAACATCCCTTTTTCAAAAAGAAATTTGGTGCTGCTATATGACTACGAAAGCATGCGTGCTGATTTTTTATCTGTCGTCCATACAGAATAGTTGTTCTTTTCAGTTATCTGTTTGCAGATAGAGGTAAAGATGCAGGACCCCTGCCCAAAACGTCCACATTTGGCTGCCATGTGAGGACCATAACACACGGGCACGGATGCTCTATGATGTGAGCGCGCTCACAATCACGAAACACACATACATGCATATGTTCAGACGCAACCAGAACACACAGATTGAGCAGATAGTCGCTGCCACGTGGAAAGAGAGACTGAGGGTGAAGAGATAGTCGGGTACGAGAGTAAGCGAGGCAGAGAGAGAGAGATGGGCAGTGCGGCTGAGGTGATTAGACTCATCTGCAAGTCGCTGTCTTCCCAGATTTGGCTGCCATTTGTTAGGCCGTTTGTTTGTTTGTTGTTGTTTTTTTCAGGAGCAAAAAAACTGTATAGACCAATGTGCCTGCTGCAGATAGCCAAAAACAATAACTGTAAACATTTGAAAAAGTGGGTCAGTACTGCTAAAGCAGTGCCAACGAGGTCAAAGAGCAAAAAAACAGACGTTAGTCCATTAGATAAAAGACTGAAAAAGTCGAGTAAATAAATAAATAGAGGGCAACAGAGAGGTGTGCTGTTCATTTACGGAAATGATGAAACTGTAGCCTCATAAAGTTTAAATTTGAAATAGGACTTCACTTAAGGATTCACTGCACTATCAGCTAATGAGCTTAATTTGTCTGATATATTTATCAAACAAAGCTATATTTAAGAATACGTAGGGATGTAAGTGTAATTTTGCTATGAACAAATATGAAATTCTGAATAAACGGGAGAGAAAGAATGCCTCGTAAACAATAAATAACACTACAGTACAGCAGTGTCACATTTGCAAGCTGCAAACTGTAATTGGTGTTATTTTCCAATCATTCATATCAGGGAGCCGCGCACAGCTACCATGCATACTCTGCGCTCAGGTCTGTGCCACGCTCCTGTCTCTCTTTGTAATTTTCATAACAATCCGTCACACTGGAGACAAGCGTGATCCGAGTCTTTGTATCAAACAGGGCCTTTATAGGTAACCACACACACATACACACGCAGACGCACAAACGCTGACATCCTCGCAGGCTTCTGGTGCTGGAGTGTGGTCAAATTTCTCAGCCTGACAGCAGGTTACTGACTTCCCAGCAACACCCCCCCCTCCACCAAAAAAACAAAAAACATGCCATACTCGCACACATGGCAGACACTTCCTC